CAGTTCAGTGTCCTCAGTGTCCCTATAATTTTCTCACCATGTGTCCCTAGGCCTGAAGAAATACCCAACCATTCCGTTTCTTAGGATATAGTTACTAATTACTTATTTATGTCTTAACAAATCAGAACTTTCTGGGAAAAAAACACAAATATTGAAAGAAAAAGATAATACTTTCATTTCGTTTTTACATAACAAATGGGATATATCTGCCTGTTGTACACTATATAACTTCCCAAAGCTTGGAATCAGGTGGACACTGTAAGAAGTTCGGCACCAGTAATGACTCCACACTTGGCCAGGACCAAGAGATTTATTAAAAGGGTTGTTACAGAGGGGATCTGCAACAGGAAAAAAAGAAAAGAGAGGAAGAGAGAGGAAGAGAGAGGAAGTGGGAGAGAGGCAGGGAGAGAGCTGCAGAGAGGGAGAGAGCGACAGAGAAAGAGAGACGGAGAGAGAGAGTGTGTGTTGTGGAGAGAGGGCTGTATTTATCAGCCCGGCAGGGGCCGGAAGGGGTCGTGCTATGCTCCTATTGGAGGAGCTGCATGGGAGTAGGGTGGGGCCAATGCCGTGTTATGGTCCTATTGGACACATAACAAAGCTGGCTACTGATTGGAGGCTTGCAAGTTTGAAATTGACGCGGGGGGGGGGGGGGGTGCGGCCTGATATTGACGCGCACGGGAAGTTGATGGGAAGTTGACTGGCGCACGAGGCGCGTGCCGGGAATTGTGCTTGCAGAGGCCAGGACCGAGGGCCTTTGTTGTTCGGTGTGTCGGCGCCATTTTGGGAGCCGCCCCTCTGGTCGCTTCCTGCACTTTTCAGACCCTGCATCCTCATCTCCTCTTCCACATTGATTTTTCATATGAAGTTGCTTTTTATTGAACCTCATCAGAAGGAATGTGAACTGTTCTAATGTAGAAATTATGAACTACCTTGAGTAGTAGTTCTCATGGTATCCAATAGATGTCACTGTGTTTCTTTGAAAAGTGAAAAATATTCTCTGACATTCCACAGGTCCCTGACAAACATATTGGGAACTTCTGCCTTCTTTGTGCTTACTCATGACAGATGTGTACTGTTCTTCTTTTCATTGCATCCCTTTTTTAATTTGTTGCTTTCCTTCCTCTACTGCATGTAAAAACGAATTCAATCTCTTTTACCTTTTTCTGTTTCCTTTCAGGTCTTAGACTTCACACAAACCACACAGATTCCTTAGGCCTACCCAACAATTTCTCTTTGAGTCTAGATTCAATTCATAAGACAAAATGAAACACAAGTAGGTCAGTCTTCCTACCGCTAATCACTGCCTAGCTTATATCATACTTCTTAGGGGTTTTTTGCTTGCTTTTGTTTTTTGTTTTTGTTTTGTTTGTGTATTTTTTTGAGTTGAAATCTCCCTCTGTTGCCCAGGCTGGAGTGCAGTGGCACATCATGGCCGCCGCAGCCTCAACCTGCTGGGCTCAGGAGATCCTTCCACCTCATCCTTCTAATTAGCTGGGTCTACAGGCGTGGGCCACCGCTTCTGGCTAATTCTTGGTTTACTGTAGAGATGAGGTTTCACTATGTTGCCCAGGCTGGTCTCAAACCCCTGGATTCAGGCAGTTCTCTTACCTCTGCCTCCCAAAGGTAATGGTGTTACCTCACATCAGGTAATTGATATTATGGGTGTGAGCCACTGTGCCTTGCCTTCTCAGCTTTTTTTGGAGGTAGTTTTACTTCATCTAGAATTCTTTCACTCCTAGGATTTGAAATTACCTTATAGAGCTAACCTTTTTTATCAGGAAAATTGCCGGCAAACCAGCAGTCACACTTGCATTTTAAATTATAAATATTAGTGGTATCTCCTTACATAGCAGCCTCAGTCTGTCTGTATGGTACTTTGCTTTTCAGATACTATAACTAGTTTACTTGCCCAAACCACAAAATTGTTCATTTTATCAGAGTGGCTAGAGTAAAAAGCAAATGAGGTGACTGGACATCCTCTCCTCCAGAGTAAAATGTAATATTACTATTTTTAGCAGTGTGAAAGTATGAGCGCTTTTAGCAAGTACTAACTCCATCTGCAGCATCTGTGCATCTTGCATCTTCCTGATCCTTAACAAGTCTTCCTCCTTGAGATAGTAGAAGACAGGAAGAAGTAGACCTCTTCCTCGAGTCTAACAAATGTGATCTAGGAGGCTGGGCATGGTGACTCACTGTAATCCCAGCACTTAGGGAAGCCAAGATAGGAGGAGTGCTTGAGCCCAGGGGTTTAAGACCAGCCTAGGCAACATAGCAAGACCTTGTCTCTGCAAAAAATCAAAAAATTAGTCAGTTGTGATGACACATACCTGGAGTCGCACTTATTCAGGAGGCTGAGGCAGAAGGAACTCCTGAGCCCAGGAGGCTGAGGCTGTGGTGAGCTGTGATTGTACTATTGCACTTCAGTCTAGGCAACAGAGTGAGACCGTAATTTTTTTTTGAATGGTCTAAATCATCATTCCTGGAACAATTATTATTCCAGTTTATTTCCCAAAATAACTATTTCCAAAATGCATTTTTAACCTGAATAGAATATTATAGCATTAGCACCCCATCCCTTGTGTATGTTATTGCTAGTCTTAAAATAGTCATATTCACCTCATACTTCCTCTTTCATGAGAGAAGAACTGAGGTAGGAGGCTCTTGGGATCCCATACTCACTGCATAGATATATTCTTCTGACTATTTTCCCAATTAGCTATGAGACTGTCTAGCGCATTGTATTTTGACTCATTTTTTTCACATTGCTTTTTTTCCTTTTGAGTCAGTGTCTCACTCTGTTTCCAGGCGGGGTGCAGTGGTGTGATCAAGGCTCACCACAATCTTTACCCCCTGGGTTCAGTAGATTCATCCACCTCAGCATCCCAAGTAGCTGGGACTACAGGCACCCACCATCACACCTGGCTAATTTGTTTATTTTTGTAGAGATGGGGTCTCTGTGTTGTTTCCCCAGGCTGTTCTTGAATGCCTAGGCTCAAGCAATCCTCCTGTCTTGGCCTTCTAGCAGACTGCTGGGATTATAGGTGTGAGCCACCGACCCTGGCCTGCATTTTTTATAGATATTTTCTGTGTTGTATCAATTAGATTTATATTTAAATTCAAAAGAGTTTTTATTATGTATACAAAGCACTTACATAATAAGATGCATAAGCTTATAAATTAAAAATTGGTATATAAAAGAAGTAATTTATTTCTTTGTAGAATCTAACAGGAAAAAATATTTATCTCTTTTTATGGATGGTGTACAGAATCCTGAAAAACAAAATAATGGAAAAGTGTGGTACTTTATATATAGGCTGGGTGCAGTGACTCAGCTTGTAATCCCAGCACTTTGGGAGGCCGAGGTGAGAGGATTACCTGAGCCCAGGGATTCAAGAACAGCCTGGGTGACTTGGTGGGACCTCATCTCTACAATAAAAATCACGACAAGCCGGGCTCGGTGGCTCAGCCTGTAATCCCATGCCTTGGGAGGCTGAGGTGAGTGG